ATTAATTACTTAGTTTAAATAATAAATATTTAAACTAAAGGGAAATAAATAAAAATAAAACAATGATAATGAAATTAAAATGGGTTTAAATCAGATTAAATTCATTTTTAATGTTTTATCAATTGGAAGAGATTTTGTGAAACAACATTTGTGTTTATAAAATTTAGCAAACAATGTGATATTATTTGTCAAATATTCATTTTTAAATTGATATTCCATATCTAATCTTTCCAGTAAAAGGGACTTATTAGGAGAGACTTGGAGATTAACCAGTTGTGTACTTATTTCCAAAATCTATGTGAAATCTCACATTCAAAAAACAAATGTTCAGCTGATTCCACTGATGAGTTACTGAGGAGTATTTTTCATGTAAATTTTAAAGTGAACTTCTGAAACATTGGAAATTTCAAAAAAATTGTTCTAACTGATCAAATCTCTTGTTTGTTGAAATGTTTTAAATAAATTGTTCTCTTAGAGCAGGGCTCCTCAAACCTTTTGGGACTGGGGACCCCTTACAAAGGTCAAAAATATCCAGGAACCCCCTCATCAACCCCAGGTGTGATGACATCATTCATTTAGAAATGCATAATAAGTTACTGTTATTTTAACCCCTAAATGCCACGGGAGTATAATTATTTGTTTGGTTTAGTTTGTTTGTTTTATTAGTTCATTATTTCTCATATGCATTTTTCAAAATAAAAACCAAATTAACATTTTATTGAAATTTTTTGAGGACCCCCAAGACTCGGCTCGTGGACCCCTGGGGGTCCTGGGACCCCAGTTTGAGAACCTCTGCTTTTAGAGGATCCAGGATACATTTTGTTAATATTTTTTTCTCAAAATTAGGTGATTACATTTTTTGTCTACAAAAGTTAAGTCATTGATAATTATTTTATGCAATCACAGGATTAGAGTTGAATCTAAATTATTTCTGACTATATTAATCATTGCAATTGGAATATTTTCAACCAATTTCTGTAATCCTCAGGGGTGCAAACTATTTTATATTTAATACTAAATTCCTCATATTTTAATAAATCGCCTTTATCATTGATCAAATGAATAAAGGCCCAGATTTGTTTTTCCATGATCCATCCTTCCATGAATTGTGATTTTCTTCTTCTGCGGTCTGCATTTTAATTACAGACTTCACATGCAGCAATGAATACACTTCACTGAATTTGTAAAAATTCAGACTTCGCGGAGGGGTGGAAATAGTACCCAAAATGGGCGGAGCAAAGGGCGGATGTGGAAAATGTGGGACACACACAAACCCTTCAACATGAACGCGCACTTGAAGTGCACAAGGGCAGAATGAGGGTGGGAGTGTGGGTATTGGGACAAGGCCTAATTGTTCATTTAAATGCATTTTACCATAAAGAGAAGTCACAGCTTCTTCCCGCGAGACCTGAAACGAAAGTAACATATTTTGTGTAATCTCTTATTGTCTGTAGTTCCACATGGTCAAGAGTTACAGTGATTCTCAGCTAGACCTTTTACTCATTTTTAAATCAATGTAAGTAAAAATGACTGACATAAAGCCTTTTTTGTATGGACTATTTAATATGCATGTTAGAGCTGGAGTTGTCGGATGGTAAATATTATTCTAGTGGATTAGAATTTATGAAAATTCACAAAACAATAACAGTATGTTTACCATTTTTAAATCAGTTTGCAAACAATTATATTAAAACAGTTTGATACATAAAGTTCATGCATGCAAGACAGACTAACAGGTTATAGTCAGTAACCTAAACAAAACCGCATCATATATATTTTCTTGCATTTCAAAGTCATATGTCACCATATTTTTAGAGCAAATGTATGAGAAAAAAAAACAATAAAAATGTATAATGACGAGAATTAAAAAGTGTGTAAAATATAACAAATCATTACACTCATACACAAAACGTGTTCAGAAATTGGGGTTAAACCACATAGATTAGAAATACGTGACGTTAAACAGTATAAAAATGGAAACTGACTCCTATGTTAATATAATAAACAGTTTTAGGTCGAAAATTACGTTCTAAGAGAGAATTCAACTTGCGCTGTGGTGGAGTTAGTTGTAGCTTGGTTAAAATACAATACCCATAATGCATTGCTGCTTTCGCGGAAGTCCTTTTCTTCCTTTCCGCCGTTGCTGAAGTCCCTTTTGGATTTACATCGGCGGGTGAGTTGAGATAATCTAACCTAATCTGCGTGAATTTCATCATTATCCGACTGTCCCGACATAGTTTATCGTGCATGAGGGTTTATTTTATATGTTGGCAATAATATTATACATGTTGCCATAAATATATAGTGGAAGAGCGGAGTGCACTTGTAGCGGCTAACCCGGCTAGCAGTGTTGTAACGTTTTATTGAAGGCCTGCTGTGTGACTTGACTAACAGAAAGTGATTGTGTAGAAAATACCATAGCAATGAATTTCTTTCTTTTTTTAAATAATATGTATCTTCTGTTTAATTCAAACTGTTTAAGCTGAATAGACGCGATTGTAGCATGGCATCATGCTACATAGACACAGGTGCTAGCCTGCTAATGTCGTCAACACGTTCACTCTGAAGATCTTTCTGTTATAGGAGTTTATTAGTCTTAGTTGTATGTTAGGTGCGTTGTCTGTGCACCTATTCTACATGCTATTGCTATTGACAAGATTTGAGCTTGTACCCTGAAAAGTCACATATTTGTCTGTGTATTGTAACATGTAGCAATTCATTTTGTTTTTTTTTCCCCTCAGTCAAAATGCCGACCCTCAGACCCTTAACGAAGCCCAAGATCGTAAAAAAACGAACCAAGAAGTTCATCCGCCATCAATCTGATAGATATGTTAAGATTAGGGTAAGTGGGTTATTGTGAATAGTTTAGGACTTTGTATCGTAGCTGTTGCTAACGAAACAAATTAATTGTGTTTTGCTTCTGCTGACAGCAAAACTGGCGGAAACCCAGAGGTATTGACAACAGGGTCCGCAGGAGGTTCAAGGGTCAGATGCTGATGCCCAGCATCGGTTATGGTAGCAACAAGAAGACCAAGTTCATGCTGCCATCTGGTTTCAAAAAGTTCCTGGTGCACAATGTGAAGGAGCTGGAGGTCCTGATGATGAGTAACAAGTAAGTTGGAAATGCTCGTGTGTAAGGTGTAGACATACAGCTGAGGATGTTGACAGAATTTTTAGTAAGGTTTAACAAGAAGTAGAACAAAATGTACACACTTATTGAGAGATTTTTATTTGCATTGTAAATTAAATGTTTTTTTTTTTTTTAGTTATTACAAATCAGCTTTATAGTTGAACCTTTAAATAGTTGCATAAAATGTTTTGTAATTTGAGCAACTGGTTGGGTATATTTAATTTATTTAAAATGTTGCAGCACCTTTGCTTGACAAAGAAAACTTGTCAGTAATTGTTTCAAAACAATAAATATTAAAAGTTTTTAAAATTAGCTTTTAAAGTACAAGTTAATTATTTTGTTTTGTGCTGAATAAATAGGTAAAGTATTGCAACAATTATGAAGAAMTAGTAACAATTATTTCTTCATAAAACATATCTGTGCACTTAAAGACACACACACGCACTAAATTTAAACTGAAAAAGTAAAATTTTTGCTCACATATTCATTTTGAATGGTGTGCTCAATCTTTTTCATCATTAAATGTTAAAATTTAATGCGGTTCCATTGAAACCAAGTGACAGTATTTTTTTTTAATAAAACTGTAATAATTGTTCTGAAAGGTCAGTGAAACCAGAAAAGAATTGTTACATACACAACTTAAAATCTTCAGTTCAAAAGTGTGAAATTAAAGCACCACATGCGTCACAGAATTAATATGCTGCTGGATTGTGACGGTCAAGGTTTTGGTCCGTTTGTTGCTTCACTTTTTTTACAACTGTGATGTGAAGTGAGCAGATAATGCGTACATCAGATATGAGCGACAGTCACAACATCCTCTTCAGTTCAGTTAAACTAAACACTTTAAACTTTCTTCCCCAAATAAAACTAAAATATTGATGTAACCAGTTTTTATGATTGCATCTAAATGTTTGTCTCCACTTAACTGTTTTTAAACTAATGCTGAAAAGTGTTACATTTCCAGTTTCTAGGGTGCTTGGTAATTTTCACAGCACACATGGTTCATAAAATTTTACTAAAATGCTAAGTGAAGGCCAAACATTGGCCACATTTTTGATTCCTTCAGTACAACGTCTGGAAGGTCACACAAGTAAAGACCATAGGAGCATTTACGTGTTACAAATAACTGTTTTCTCTCTGTCTTAATGTTGCCTTCCACTCACACTGCAGTGTGAAGACATCCAAATATGAATATAATATCAAAAAAAACTATTTTGAAGAACTGATCAGAAAAAACAAAGTGAAAGTCCTCTGAAAGTGTGGATGTCAGCTGTTATAGAAGTACTTCATGTGGTTCTCATTTCACTGGTTAATGTGTACCTAAATCAAACGTTTTTAAGCAAAATTTGTGACCCGAAGCCAACAACAATGTGCCTTTGTTTACCTACAAAAACTTACACCGTGACAAAAAATAAGTCCAATGTTAAACTTACTGGCAACGTTTGTTCGCCTACACAGACTCAACCAAGTAAGTCATGTTACTCAAGCTTCCACACAAACTCCAGCTGATGTTTATATTGAGTGTGAACCTGCAATTCAGAAGCATTCAATATATCTGGAAAACTGAGTAAACTCTTAAAATAACTACACTTGTTATAATTCGGGATAAACTTTTTATGTCTGATTCCATACTTTTCGATGAGAACCTTTTGAACGAAGTGAAGCTGCAGAAACGAGTAGCATGTAGGGACCGAATAACAGAAGAAAATGCCATTTCTTCACCATGTCTTGGTGAAGAATTTAAAGTAATCCATGTTTCTTAAGACTTAATTGAAGAGAAGTTGGGGTTCAGAATTGATTTTTAACCAGATTTTTATTTTAATTGACATTTCAGCTATGACTTGTCCTCATACTGAACATCATTCTGTCTGCAGGACTCACTGTGCTGAAATCGCCCACAACGTCTCCTCCAAGAACAGGAAGCTGATTGTGGAGAGAGCAGCTCAACTGGCAATCAAGGTCACCAACCCCAACGCCAGGCTCAGGAGTGAAGAGAAYGAATAAACTCCTTATTTACAATAAACTCTTTAAAAATAGAAACTGACTACTGATTGTTTTATTTATTTATTTCTTTTAAATTCCCAGTTTGCTTCATTGCTTCAGTTTGTTTCACAAGTTAGCTTTTTTATTTTATAAAACAAAATAAGACCTGAAACTTTAGTTTGTTGAATGAAACTGATACTTGATTTGAAATGTTTATTTTTAAAGCTTATCCTCTAATGTTGACACATTTGTGAACTTTAAAAAAAATTCGTAAGATTGAAGTCACAAAAGATAAAAAAAATTCATAAGATTGAAGTCACAAAAGACTTAAAATATCTGAATTGTTAGGTATGTAGCTGGGTTTCAGCACAACTTAAAAAACATAACCCAAGTTTTACCTGTTTTTACAGAAACTCGTACTAATTGTTGCATTTTTTAAAAAATCACAAGATTTAAAGTCACAAAAGACTTAAAATATCTGAATTATTAGGGATGCAGCTGGGTTTCAGCACAACTTTAGAAATATAACTAAAGTTTTACCTGTTTTTACAGAAACTCGTACTAATTGTTGCATTTTGTAACAAGCTTTTGAAGTTRTAACATTAACCCTCATAAAACATACTAACCAGACTTGCTGTTGAATTGCCTCTTCAGACAGCTCGGTCATTTTGAGATAAAATGATCAGCTTTTATTGTCTGGTTTGCACCACAGTTAAATCCCCAGTAGGCATTGTTCAATAACARCTAAACATGTAGTCATTACACAGTCTTGAATTGGCTCTCAGAACGTATATTGGTTTACAATGTGCAGCACAGACTCCCTGCAGAAAAGGTTTCCGTTGCATTCTGGCAGACAGGCTGTGCCCTGCAGTCCTGAGTCCTCTGCCATCTGTTCCTGCTACATTGCCATCACCAGAGAAGCAAAAACACRACATTCATCAGACAGTCAGCTTGTGGCTGCTTGGATTAGAAACAAGTGACCAATAATGGGTGGAAAACAAAAGCAGTGCTGGATCTGAACATGACAGTTTGAGGACCTGCACTTGTTAATAGGGGGCCTGGTAGACTCACCTGATGGAACWGGACGGTCTGCAGAGAGAAGGGAGGAGAACAGCAGGACAGATAGGARGGTGAAAGCGCCAGGACAAGGACAAAATCGATTTTTTATTTCTTTTCCACAGGACAGMAAATGAACATGTTGCTGAAGGTAGCATTTGGGAAAGGACGTCTCGCCTCCAAACAGCTTTCGTTCACCTTTCCACAGACAGATCCTGAGAGGAAAGGCAGCTGGTCTGCTGGAGGGAAGAGGAAGATGTTCTCTTTTTCTCTCAGATGTCAACTGGGCATCATCAGAGGGAGAACCAAAGGTAAAACCTACAGGAATATATATACATATATATATATATATATATATGATATATATATATATGCAACACAAGGCCATTCGCTTTATCAAACCCAAAAACTGAACAAATGCATGCATGCTTTATTTTTTTCCTTACTCTTGAGTGATGTAAATGTTTTTCCTCACACTTTCTCCTGCAGCTGGAACTGATCACCAGAAGATGGCAGTGTGATCAGTTTCTCCCAAGGAGGTTATATAGAACAAAAAGTGTTCTTATTCAAGTCTATGGTTTCTCAATAGTTTGAGTTGAATATACAGAAATATTGACTAATTTTAGAAGACCTATCAAAAAGTAAAGTGCTTTTTACTTGATGTGTATTATTTGTTTTGTTTCTCATTATTTGCCAGCCTGTTCCCTGAAGGTTTTTATAAATAGTCCACGCTGCCTCATCTCCCAGATCTCTAGATTTCTGCTGGAAATTAATTAGTCTCGCTCCAAAACGCTACTCTCACACAATCTGCAAACGAAGTATTAGGGACAAACGTCTCCGAGGAAATTATCTAAGCCAGGGTGTATTGTGTCCAATGGAACGTCTGACTAATTACGCTGCATGCAACAGCGAGTAAAAACACGGAAGTTGCGATCACTTCAGTTCTCTGTTATCTAGATTTGTTCTTGTGTTTTTTTTATATACGTATTTATCTGCATTTAAAGTCTTAATGAGGACATCATCTGCAGTGAAGCAGATGAGGTTTCAGAGAGGGGCCGTCTGTGGGGGTCATGAAGTGCAGGCGCTGACGCCCATGTTGACAAATGGTCGCAGTTGCAGCAGTGAGCGCCTCTGTGTTTAGGTTAAAGGATGCCAGAGGTTTGAGGAYTACAGAACATCTCCTAATACACTTGCTTTCTCCCCTACAAAGAAGTGTGTTCAGATTTTAGTGTTTTTGCCTTCTTTATCATCAGAAGACAAAAGGCAATATTATAATTTTTTTCTTGTGTGTTCATCTGTATCCTTAGCAAAACTCCAATTTATTTCATCAGCCTTATTTAACCAGACAAATACAGATCACAGATCTCTTTTGGGCCTGAAGTCAAGCTAACATGCGTGTTTTAGTTTGTGCAAAGAAAAAAAAAACACAAGCACGAGCAATATACAAATACCCCGGGTCTGTCTTACCCTGTTTTCTGTTTGGCATCAGTGCTAACCACTGATCCATCGTGCCTCCATGCGCTCCATGAACTACTGAATATATTTTATTGAAGCAATCAGAAAGTAATCACAGGATGGACATTCGGAATCAATTCATGATGGCTGCCACAGCTAACAGACCTCAGCCAGCACAAAAATGACTCCAGCTCAGTCCGTTCTACAAACACTRAGCTAAAGTTTAGTGTGGTAGTAGCTGCGGGTAATCCCCATCACATACTCCAAGATCGTGCAAAGTGTCTTTTACAAGGTTTGACCCTTGTCAAAATAAGCTAATTTTAGTTTAATGCTCTGGCATGAAAGGTGGCGTGCGATGTGCATACCCCCACCCCCCCAAGGTTTCAGACTTTCAGTTGCCTGTCTGAATCTGTCACCTGTGGTGAGCAGCAGAAAGACACACAGGCAGCTGTTCTTCAAAGGCATTTTGAATATGCATTTTTCCATCATGTCGTGTGTGTGTGTGTGTGTGAGAGAGTGAGAAAGACAAAAGCATGTGGAACCAAGCTGTGGAACATGGCTGCAGTCTGTATGTGTGAAAAACGTGACACAGAGTCTGACAGCGAGTGTGCAGGTGGTGTTAATTGTGCCGACAGTTCAGTGTGTGGGGCGTGTGCTGTTTTGTCGTGTCTAATCTCAGTGTGTGAGCTGTGTGGATGTGTGAGTGGGGTGGGTGCGTTCGGGGATGTGGTGGGGATGAAGTGCGAGTTTGTGTGCAGATGGGAGTGAGGGAGTGACTTTTCTGTGTCTGTGTGAGTGAGTGAGTGAGTGAGTGAGTGAGTGAGCCCCTCTGGCTGAGACGAAGAGAGCATGAGCAAACAGAGAGAGAGAGAGAGAGAGAGAGAGAGAAGGGGAGATGTGTGAGCTCACGTGAGTGAGGGGAAAAAAATTCTCCTAAACACACAAACGATTTGTGAGGATCGCTCAGAAACGAGGGCCACTTTGAGATGCAGAGCATCCTTCTTCATGCTTTGGATTTTGTACAAGAGCTCCTAAATTTGCGATCCACAGCTCCAGCATGCTTCACGAACAGGRCGGGAGAAAGATGCCCGGGAATGTTGGAGTGAAGAAACAAGAGGTGATTTTCTAACTCCTATGTCAGAGCCTGAGACCTGCTTCTCTTGGGTCCTTCCTCCTCAGGTGGAACCTCAACTTTCCCTGCACACCAACCCAGCTTCCAGAGAGCTGACTGAAGTCCAGCCATGCTGTGTGGTCTGAGGAGAGACACCAAGAACAGCATTGGTAAGAGCATTCCCCCTCCCCCGAATGTGATCCTTAAAAAAAGAGAGATGCCTAATTTTGAAACAAATGCTCCTCTCAGACTCAGCACAACTCTGTCTTTGCCCTGAACGAATGTCTGCACGCCTAATGGATCTGATAGACCGAAAAAGATTTAAACATGAGTGGACTCGACCACCAGCCCTGCAATGTGTAATTGGGGCAGATATAGTAACTGGATCTGGAAGCGCTCATTTGCTAAATAAAGTTTTCCATCTGAAAATAGCCTTCTGGTTTTGCTGTCATCTCTGCCCCCACATTTAACCTAAATTCTGATTGGATGTGAAAGGAATGTCATTACAGAGCCCTGATTTAAAAAGAGAAGTTAATTACCTCTGTTTATTTACACGAGATGGGAGGATTTACACCCCCCCCACCCCCACCCCCCACCCAACCATCATTTGAATATGACACAGAGCCTGTCGCTCCCCTCCCTTATTGCAGAGAAACTCATTTATTTTCAAGCATTAGTCCTTCCATTGTTGGGGTTGTTTATGATCATCCTGACCTCGGCTCTTCGGGGTGAGTGATGGTTATTTTAAGCTGGAGGAGGATGGCTGCCAGATAGCTTGATGGTACAGTAGTGTTCGGTCACGTGCGCTCCATTGGGCCTGTGTAACCCAGAGCTAATGTTGCCTTTTGACAGAGATGACAGCTGCTGGACTGTCAGGGCCCCCGGGAGCGAGCGTGGTTACAAAGCTTTTGCCTCGTCTATCGTGTTTGTGATGTGTCATTCATTTTGTGTGTGTGTGTGTGTGTGTGTGTGTGTGTGTGTGTGTGTGTGTGTGTGTGTGTGTGTGTGTGTGTGTGTGTGTGTGTTCATGCTTCAAAGCTGCTGGACGCTCTGTGCAGAGAATGTAAAATATATCATCATGAGTGTGTACGTTCATCATGTGAGTTGGAGGCTGACTCATGCAGCCAAGGTTGGATTTTTCTTCTTCGCTCTCTGGATCTTGGTGCTGCCCAAAGATTTCAGGTCAGAGAAGGTATGACGAAGGATCCATACCTCTCAGCTGTCCAAAGGCTTCACTTCAGTTGGACAGATGTGGGGAGTCAGTGCAGACAGGGATAAAGGAGGGAGCTGGATGTCCCACTGGCTTCTGAGTCGTTGTGTCAAGTCTTTGTAAATCAACACAAATAACCTGTTTTATGGAAACGTAAATAAGCATTTTATATTGCGCACTGATAAACTCTCAGATCTAATATCGTCAAGTTATTTACTGTGCTTCTCTACTTGAAAGGTATAGACATCCACACACAGTTATTCCCACAGGATTCCACTCAATGGCCAACCAATCCTGATTAGCTTCTAAACTCATGGCTATCTTCAAAATCTGTCTCTTAATACCTTTTGATGCCATAAATACACAAAAACACACATACTATTTTTAATGAGCCAGTATTATCAAAAAAAGTTTGCATTAAACATTTAGCAAAAGCAATCAAACTCTCAAACAATTGTTGTAAACCAAGCAATTCATGACAAAAGTCACTGATCAGAAATGTTTGGGCCACACCATCCGAAGTATTTATGCCGTGTTCCAGTTGTACTCTGAGGTCGGAATTTTGGACTTCCGAGTCGGAAATTTAAAGTGGAACGCCCCTTACTGCCGTGCAACACAATTCCCGACCACGTTCGTTGTCATCATTTCAACATGGCTGCTCCTCTCATCAACAGAGTGAAACTTTACTTTTACAGTTGTTAACAGTGTTGTTTACTTAACATTAAGTCAGTCATACTTGTAGTACTTTATAGGGATAATTAGGCGATATGTTTGTATGCTCAAAATGCAGCATAGAGTGCTATAGTATAGTAAGTGTTGTACAATTCCGTCAGAGCAAGAAACAGATTTTTTTTGTAATGTAACAAATTGGAAACTGGAATGCTGTCAACCCAGAACTGATGCCAGTCCAACTTCTCAGTTTTGAGTTTTCGTTGTCCCAGCAGGAATTGAATTTGAATTGCTCAAATTGAATCTGAATGTGCATAATTTGAAATTGAATGCATTGGTTTGAAAAAGAATTTTACTAAATTGAAACTGAATTTAAAGTTTTATATCTGAATTCATTTGCTTTGAAACAGTATTTTTGTTTATTAAAAATTCAGTTTGACTACTTTCACTTTCAGTTCCATAATTCAATTTCAGTTCTGAAATTTAGATTTTTGTCACACATCCTGGTCCTATAGAAAGCCAGCCAGAGTAATCAAACACAGATTCACAGATTTAAGTTTTACTTCGGTGAAGCTTCTCTTCTGTACTGTAACAGAGTTGATGCAATCCACCTTAAAAATGACAAAAACAGACAGTTATTTTATTGAAGGGATTAATTTTACCTTTAGCAAATGTTACTTTGTTGCTTCTGAAATGGTGCTACAGTTAATGCAATCACGTTGCATTAACTGTAGCACCATTTAAGAAGCAACAAAGTCCAGAGTAGTATTGTTGCAAAAGTTTGCTTCTTTACCAGTAGAATATCTGGTATCTTGAAATGTCTCGCAGTTTTGCAGATTCTCCCATTTGGTTGGTATTTTCCACAGATTCAAGTGTTGTGCATCAACTTCCTAGTCCCTGTGTCATCAGGTTATTGCAAAATGGTTCCTATGCTCTTACTGCCAAGCTTGACTTGACAAATGTATTAATGATGTTTTCACCTTTAATCATTTGCTGATACACCAAACATGTTAGAGCATAAGGATCATCAAAATGTGAGGCAATGCACCCATTGTGATGTAAAATTCACTTGAACAAACTTATACCTGTCAAATTGACGAGTTACAAATATTTCTTTCTGTTTGCTAAATTTAATTAGCAAACATATTAAATTTGATAGTTTCATTGAAATTAATTCTGTATTTTATGAGCTGAACCTGTGTAGGTATGGCTGGAGACACAGTAGTTAATCTCCTAATGTATGCAGATGATAAAGTTGTGTTTAACCCAAGTTCAGCCAGTCTCCAACAACTCCTTAGTGTGTTCAATTTAGGGTAATCAACATGATATCAAATATAATTCCACAAAAACTGTAATCATGTTCTGTCAAACTAAAGAGGACAAATATGTCCTTTCTTAAAAGTAAGTTGCTTGGCGATATAGTGTATCAAATGAAGTTAAATATCTTATATCCTGATGGATGATGAGGACATTTACCATCAGTGCCATATGTTATATACACAAGTGAATGCACTATCTCAAAAATTTGGATTTTGTTCTGGTGAAAGAAAACACAACTTGCTTTGATCATATGTACCACACTGTACATGGCTCACTGTACACGGCTCACTTAGGGTGGAATTATATAAAAAAGCCAACCTTCGGAGACTACAAGTGGCTTCTAATGATGCACTAAAACTTTTATCAAAGAAGCCCTGATGGACTAGTACCAGTTAACTGTTTGTGTATGCTGGGGTTAGTACATTGAAGGCTATTTTAAGAACTATTATGTACTGTACACATTTTCTGTCTGATAATGTCTGATAATGGAGTCATCTTAATACTGACTAATGCTGTATATAGAGCCATGCATTACACATCTCAGCTTTGGAAACACGATTKTGTCCTGAAAGGATAGGGTTGCATAGTAAAGTGTCTTTTTCTTTTCTTTTTTCTTTTGGTCTGGATTTTCATGTATTATGGATCAAGAATCCACAAAGTACATCATCATCATCATCATCATCATGGAATATTTTGCAAATAGACAAAGCTGACTCCAAGAGTTAATGTCAAAGTTTTAAAATAAAGATTTAGCACAATTATTTGGCAATTAAATTATGCATTAGAGATGTGTTTCAGCTACTACCACATCAAATTGTAAAAATTAACAAAATTACAGCCATTTTGCATTATTGTGCTAACAGAGAGAGAAGCAAACACAAAAATACAATATTTCCCCCTTTAGCCTTCCAGTTGTGCATGATACAAAAAAATCCTACCGTGGAAAAAAAAAACATTTTTTAGACCTCTAATAGTTACCTCAATGATTTTCTTTTTCCACAACAACGTGGAGACCTGCAACAACTAAACAAAAGGAGTTTTGAGCCATTCTGTGTTTGAAAAGAAAAGCTGTAACTTTTTCTGTTGTATAAAGACAACATGTAGCAGCTTTTCTTCTAAGTTTCATGTGCTGTTTAATCACTGCACCAGACACCTGAAAGGATAATCCACAGTGGACAGGATTAAAGAAGTGCCAAGTCAGTTTCCTCATCACTGTGATGGCAGATATGGCTGCATGGCTGCATGGCTGCAGTCAGGTTTCAGATGGCTCTGCTAATCTGTGGACACTGTYATTTACTCACAGGGTGACGAAATAAGAAAAAAAAGAAGAAAGACTTTGGTGCAGAGCAGCTAAAACATTTTCCTGCTCTCTTAGCTGCTGTAAATGACATGAAAATGCAGACCCCCCCCCCCCCACACACACACACACATCCATACACAGTCCATTAACTGCACACTGTTCCCATGATTAAATGAGTCCATGTTAACTTTACATTAAATGAAAGACCTTCCCTGTAAAAAAAAAAAAAGATTCTGTTTAAAACTCATCAACTAACCTGCATCACACCACAGCTGCATTTGAAATTCAATTCAGTTCAATTCAATGCAATGAATACGGTGACTGATCCCCAACACTTATTTTGATTACAGATTAAATTAAACAAGGTCGCTCAGAATTTTCTTTTTAAGTATTCAGGTTCAACTCTGTCTGCCTGTTAGCAAAATATCACCTGAATCGCTGCATGGATTTTAATGAAGCTTTCAAGAAGTAATCATATGATGTACAGGAGTTAGACAATGAAACTGAAACACCTGGTTTTAGACCATAACATCCCTTTCAGACAGCTTCCTCTTGCGTCCACAGTTAATCCTGTTGGATGTGGTTGGTCCTTCTTGGTGGTATGCTGACATTACCCTGGATACTGTGGCTCTTGAAACATCACAAAGACTTGCTGTCTTGGTCACAGATGCACCAGCAAGACGTGCACCAACAATTTGTCCTCTTTTGAACTCTGGTATGTCACCCATAATGTTGTGTGCATTGCAATATTTTGAGCCAAACTGTGCTCTTACCCTGCTAAATGAACCTTCACACTCTGCTCTTACTGGTGCAATGTGTAATTAATGAAGACTGGCCACCAGGCTGGTCCAATTTAGCCATGAAACCTCCCACACTAAAATGACAGGTGTTTCAGTTTCATTGTCTAACCCCTGTACATCTACCACTGAATAACTTACAGAACCATCCCAGTTTAAGATGGCTGCCAAAGCTAATCAACCTTAGAAAAAACAAACACGGCCATAACACAGCCAGTTTAGCAAATGTTGAGTTAAAATTCAGTGTGGTGGTAGATGAGGCTCATTTCCAACACTGACTGTTAGCGTGAACAGATGGTAAAAGATCTTGATATATTGCATGCGATTGCACAAAAACTATTTTTTTAAAGATTCAAGCAAAACAGCCAGCATTCTGTCCTTTCTCATCATAGAATCATCTTAAGACCTGCGCATGAAAGTCAGGGAGCAATAAGCATTCCTCCAATGTATGCATGCCTTTTAGTTTTTCCCTGATGAATGACGTGGCTGTCGGTTCAGCGTTGCTCTGCCTCGCCCAGGTTGAAGTTCAAACCACTGAGGTGCCATGGATGGGCAGTCATGTTTATGTTTTTGTACCTCATCTGCTGCAGCGTTTACATAAAGCTGTCACCTCTCTGCTGCCTCCTCAGATGAAGGGCCGTACTCAAAGGGGAGCAAAGAAGCAACTGACCAATCACATCCGTCCCGTGGATGCAGCCTTTCAGGTACAATACAATCATTTTATCTGTGACCGTGTTTGTGTTTGTTCACAACTTCATTCTGTCTTGTTGCCCATCTGAGTCACACTACCGTCTGCCTTTCACCTGGCTCCTTACAAAGATTAAGATCCTGCTTGTCTTGATTCGAGAGTTTTCGTCCGTGTGTGTGTGTGTGTGTGTGTGTGTGTGTGTGTGTGTGTGTGTGTGTG